AGAGAGGTAGAGAGAGAGAGAGAGAGAGAGAGAGAGAGAGAGAGAGAGAGACACACACACACAGACAGCGAGAGAGAGACACACAGAGAGATACAGAGAGAGAGGTAGAGAGAGACACAGAGCGACACACACACACACACACACACACACACACACACACACACACACACACACACACACACAGAGACCATCGGCTGACTTTGAAGCAATACGGACAGCAGTTGGTCAGAAGGCAACAATCGGAACACATATTGGTCTCGGCACTCATTGGTTCCTTCTGGGTGGAACCAGGCTGTGGCTTGATTCGATGGCTACAAAATGGCAACTACATCACAATTTGGCCCCATGTATTCATGGGTGTAGGAGAAACATAGTGGACACAAACCCTGTGAAGTATTGATAAAACAATTTCAGGACTGGACGAAGCATTTTCTAAAACATTACCAGCTTGAGTAATCCTTTCTCCATCATGATCCTAATGCACATAGTGTCTCTCCCAAGTCTTGGGGATCTCACAAACATCTGTTTTTATTAAAGTCCTTATACAAATCAGAACTACAGATAAGCAGCGTATTTACGTAAAATACCCCCCCAAAATATTCAAAACCCAATTACTTTCAATTAACTTGCGTACAGAAACGCATGCATTAAATGAAAGTCTCAAATGTATAAAAACAGCATGCATAAATACCCAATCAAGCTTTTTCTGCATGTGTACATAGGAGCTGATTTCCAAAACACAATTACGATCTAATTTACTTTCCGAGTCAAGCCTATATATTTAGAACAGTTATATACATCTAAAACATTATTTCATTTTTTTAAAATCTTTAAATGTTCACTAATTTTAGGAAAAACCCAATAGAGTGATGAATAGATGAGTGAAAAAATATTAGTCAATGAAAAATGCAATAACCCAATTAAAATCGAAACCCTAGCATAAAAACTCAATTGCTCAAAAAGTTATCTGGAGCTCTGCAAATGCATAGACATGCACATCGGAGATATGTGGTTCAGAAAAGTTGAATCAAACTTTGTGAATATTCAAAGGAATTCAAGCCATGCCTAATCATACAGATATGATAATGTACAGACATAAGCATTTACACGAGACAATCTTTCGTAATTCTTTGTCAAAAAGACAAAATAAACAGGAAACATATATTGCATTATCAAAGAATCATAACTATGTAACATCTACACGATATTTTGACAAGAACATGATTATTGCTTCAGCATATAGTACACAAATTTACAGTTTGATTGTATCATCACATAAGTTAAAAATACGGAATACCTCAAAGGGACAAGATCAAATCTACACGTTTTTCATGTCATAGAATATGTCTTGACATTCTTTAGATGTACACAGGGTAGAATTAGTTTTATTTTGAATTCAACCAGTTTCATTAAAAAATGTGTACCATTGATGTGGATTGTAGTACTTTTGGAATCCGATCCCACAACATTCCCTATTTTATATCAAATCCGACTTTTTGTATACACACAGAAGAGCTCATGGCTGCAATGTCAAGTACCCTACTGTCATCACGTGGTGGAATCAGCTTAGGCGCTACTCGCTGAAGTCTTGTCAGGGAGTTTTCTGGTGTGTATGCTGATTCTCAATCTGATGCTGATTCTTGATCTGTGTAAGACTCTCCATCACAAGCAAGAGTTAGGAGTGAGTGAATGAGTGAGTTGGTTTTTAACACCGTTTTGAACAGTATTCAAATTGTGTCTACAGTAGTCAGCTTAATGTGGGAGGAAAGCCCGAAGTGGAGCAGGTCTCAGACCTTTACCACTTCGGTGAAACCCATGAGGGGTATGGTGCTGACAAACCGAGAAATATAATTGGGGAGAACCGGGATTTGAACCGCTATCACACTTTTCTGGAGTGCCCAAGGGACGCAACTCCGCAAAGCGAATTGCCATGCCTTAGATGACTGGGCCACTCTTGACCTGCAAGAGTTTGGTACATATAACATGGAGTCTGTCTGGCATTTCATAGTTGTAGGTGTAGTGTTACTTCACGTTACTACACGTTGATGGATTCTTGTAGCAGTCATTTCTGCATAGTCAGCATACTGTAACTCGTGAAATTAACGTGAGCGTGAATTAAATGCGAAAAATGCGAGTGGTCTTTGTTTGCAATAATGAAACTTCAAATTTATGTCTCCAAAATGACTATGAACAATAAGATGGCCTCACTGCACACTTTGGATAGCGGAAATACCAACTTGAATATAAATACAAACACGGTTTATTGAGCAGCAGTTGTAACAAGTATATAACAATGTCATTTATAGAATAGGAATTTCGGTACACAATGGGCATCTGGTGAGTTACCACTGCTGGGATCAAGATTTCTACCCACTCGTGTCAAACTAGGCATCCATGACTACCATTTGATTGGATTAGGGTGAGGATTCGTATCATTCCTCTTAGGATGCAGTGGGGGGCGTCGCATTGATTTTGACTCACATTATTGGAAGGGGTCAGCAGTTGTATTAATTTGGAGACATACTAATTTCCAGATTTACAGTATTTAACTTCTACAAAGCCAAGAACCTAAGGTTGTTTGTTGATGTGACTAGACATACATTATTACTAACTGGACTTTTAGCCACGTCATCTAACAGAAAAGCCATCCATGTTCACAATCTACAGAGACATTTGTCCAATTCAGACTTCAATACTGGCCCTTTTGGAACCATTAAATGAAATGTCACACAACAATCTTCATATGCAGTTGACAATCCCTGACAACATATATTCAATGGATACATTTATCACCAATACCACACAGAAGTCCATGCAGTAACTATCAAAACATATCCACATGATTAAATCGAATGTTGACACCGAACTCAGACCTACACGCACACACACACACGCACGCACGCACACACATAATGCTGGCACATACAGTGAACCCCTGTCAATCTGGACTGGAGTAAGTGAGTGAGCGTGTCTGATTTTACGCCACTCAAACAGTATTTAGTTACACCATAGCAGGTCTTGGACGTTCACTTAAGTGTAACCCACGAGTAGTGATATGGTGCTGACAAACCTTGAAACACAATCAGGGCAAATCTCAGATTCAAACCCATGATTGTTTTAAAAAAATACATATGAAAAAAACAACAACCCAAAAACCCATGATTATTGGTTTGACACACCTAAGGGATGCAACTCTTCACCTGTGCACCACATTCTTTCAGAGTTCCTGCCCTTTGGACATCTGCAGTTGGGAACATCAAGATGCATACAAAAAGACATAACTCTGCACTCAATGTTTGATAATCTTAAAAAGGTTAATCCGGACAATTTTTCTGGCAATTATCCATTTGACTAACAGGGTTTAACTGACTTTTACTATCAAAAGCAGCTTACCTAAACAGTATAAAAATGAGTACAGCTCTTATCAAATGGCATCTGAACACCTAAACTAAGAGTCACTGCGAAAACCTGCTCACAGACAAAAATTTGGAATTGAATGATACACAGTTGCAAGCCACATGCAGGGTACAAAACTAACAAATCCAGGAATTCAGAAAGGACGAGTGCCATGTCCTTATGGACTAATACTTTTACCTTTAGGTAGGTGGCAACTCTGAAGAATATTTTTGCAGACAAGTGAAAATTAGACTTCATTTCTAAGCCTCATATACAGTGAAACAGTGAAATACTCAATTCAAGAGTGAGTGAGTGAGTGAGTGAGTGAGATGGGTTTAACGCCGCTTTTAGCAGTATTATAGTTATATCGCGGCGTGTCAGCTTAATGTGGGAGGACAGCCCGAAGTGATGCAGGTCTCAGATGTTTACCACTTCGGTGAAACCCACGAGCACGGGTATGGTGGTGGCAAACCTAGAAACATAATCGGGGCGAACCGGGATTGTAACCCACAATCATAAGTTTCTGGCGTGCCCAAGGGACGCAACTCTGCACAGCGAATCGCTGGCCTTAGAGACTGGGACACTTGTGCACCCCCTATCATTAGAGCAAACAAACAAAACTAAACAAGGCGATAACTGTCATATATTAATTCTTGATGGCGGTATTCAAACTTGTCAACATATTCATCACATAATGATGTACTCAAAATGTCATATACAGAAACTTGTCTCCATTGGAGTGACTGCACCAAGATCAAAGGGCCATAACTCTGTCCAATATTAATTTTTCAATGCTGGTTTTGAAACTTGAAAATATCTATTTTTAATGATGTATGCAAAATGTCATCTCTGCATCCATAGTGGTTTCAAAGAAATGTGTCCCATTTGGGTTAAAGTGCACCATGTCCCAAAACAAATGGCAAGGGCCATAACTGTTAAAAATTAATTCTCATTGCTCGGTTTTGATGTTAATCTACATACCGTATATCGCTGTCTGTAAAGCGACCCCCTATACAAGCCTTCAGAATCGATGCTCATTTATATACCCCCTCTGTAGAGCGAATCAGAATGAAGCAAGTCACCAGTGCATAAACAATCCCTACATTTGCAATAAAAACGTGTTTGTGTTGGCAAAAAACAAATTGTATTGAACATGGTATTTCTGGTGTTACGTGCTCACAGTAATGTCTTTGTGTTGGCAAAAAAATACATCAAAACTCTTCAACCCTGTGTATAAGACGACCATTATAAAACCTCGCCTTATACACAGCGATATACAGTATGTATTCCTTAGTGATGTATGCATACATTCGTCACCACTCGCCCCTTTCCGTAACCTGTAAGACAACTCGTCCCCCTATCAATGAATGTTATGTGCGAAAATCCGACAAACCAATCAGAATGCGCGTATGATTTCAATTTCTTCGTCAAAGAATCCCTCAGAAATAATTTTTGATTTTACATATGTCATGTATCTAAAAATACACCCAAGATACAGTTAAATGTGCTCAGTCATACTGTCTAATTCCGCATGTCCAGATGTGCTTTAAATTGCATCTGAAACATATATAATATACGGGGAAATGTATGTGAACCATTATGCAACGAGTTGACAAATGTTTTAGGTATGCCCGTTTGCGCTAAGACAGAACCCGGTCGCAAAAATGGCCATGAGAGGGGCACGAGTCGCTATTCGGCTTGTCCCGGAATAACACGAGTTGGTCCTGAATGGTATGCATAATATCATCCTTGTATCCACAGTGGTCCTGTGCATTATGTCCAAAAGATCAAACAACTTTTGATGCTTGTTTTCTAACTCTATCAACACATTATTCCCATAATGATGGATGCGTCCTCGTATCCATAGCTGTTTCCGAAAATACTTGTTCCAATTGAAATTGGTCAGACAGATGGACAAGGCCCAAACCAATATCCCCGCCCCACGTCATGGCAGGAGGTAAAAAAGGACCCATAGGGTACCCAAAAATGTCCATTTGTCCAGGTTCTGCTTAACGAGATTCGACTTGTAAGTTTAAAGGAAAATAGTATCATGACTTCAGCATATCATTTCAGCCCTACTTATCGTTCCTCAACAACATAACCTGATGCTGAGAGTGGGATGTCAACAATCTGCTGACAAGAAAATAAAAGTCGCATTATCTCAACAGTAGGCGTTCATGCACAGCATATCAATAAAGTCCTAAGCCCTTGATAACAGGAATGAGCACAAAACACATGAAAATGGCATTCATATAGACAAAAGTCACCCACACTAATGGACTATATACAGGATAAAGCAACACAATGGAATGAGAACGAAAAAACCTTCAGAACTTCAGAAAAGACCACAGAATTTGTGCCCAAGCCTTCTGAAACTTGAGTTCAAAGTTGTTATTTCTTAATTAAATGAGCCATATCGACCATATTGATAACAAATATCAATAAACAGGAAAACATTGTGAAATGAACGGCAATGAAACTGTGAAATGAGTCAATCTTGAAGCTTTCAGCCACAATAGCATCCAAAATAACTTTTAATAAGTGTGAATTTTATTCTTACATATGATCATCACGAGTCTAACAAACCTATAAACATATTCAGGGCGAACCGGGATTCGAACCCACGATCATAGGTAACTCTGCACAGCGAATTGTGACACCTTAGACGGCTGGGCCACCCATGCCTTACTGTGCACATGGTACTGGCATTACAAGAGAAATTACAGTATTTTGTTCACTTGTGAAGGTTTAGAAGTGGCTCACAATTTGGACACAATTTCTGCCATCTTACCGACTACTTCGTAAGTTATTCATTCCATTCTGTTGCTTTATCCGCTGTATGGGAGGCCTGTAACTAGCTCTGATTTTTTAAGTACTGGCATCAAACAGCTATCCGTTTGAGAACAACATGACACATCATCATGTCCGTAAGATCAAGTCCGTCTAGAATCTCCATCATATCGTAATTATTATCAAACGTCACTTGTGATGGCTCAGTGTGCTCTGGTTCCGACCATGAAGGCTTCGGAGACGGCTTCCGACTACTTGGGGACTTTCCAGTGTCACGTGAAACTTCCACAGAACACTCAGTTGCATTCCTCAATTTCGTGCCACTTTCTGATTTCATTTCATTGAACCTGTTTCCGACATCAACAGGATCTGTAGTTCTTGTCTTCCTGGTATTTGACTTACCAGCCTCAAGTCTGACACCCAAAGAACACTGATCGGTGTCATACACATCTCGAGCCTCATTCCTGGTTTTCTTGGCCGTCACAGATTCACTGTCTGTTGAAAGTGAGCGTTTCTGTGTGTCCTTGGATTCACGTTCAGTTCTCTCCTTAGACCTACCATAGTGCATTCTAGTTCGAAACGAATGTGCATTCAAAACGGACAAATCCTCTGCAATGTCATCAAGCACAACTACGGGCTTCCAGCAAGATGCGTCTATATCTTCCAACCATTTCTTTTTCTGATTTTTAGCAGGACAAGATAAATAGTTAACGAGAATGCTATCAGGATCTTCTTTTGACTTCTGTTCCCTGTCAACATCAAATTCTCTTTTCTTCCTGTTTGGTCCGGTACCAGGCAAACCATTCGTCTGACCAACATCACCCTGTTCATCAAAGGACAACCTTTTTGCCACAGACTTGGCTTCAGTATCAACACTGGCCAATGCCACCAAGGGTAACAATGACCTGATGTCTGCCTCCACATCCGGCTCCCTGGCAGGATACTCACAAGATGGAGCTGGACCTTTGGTTCGCCTAGTGGAAAGCCTTTTTTCATTTTGCAAAACATCAGCTCGACTGTTATACTTCTGGAACACGTTCTGGGGCTGTAGATTCCAGGGTTTGCTTCGGATTCGGGTGTCCTGACTCTGGGAGCTGCTGCTGCGTCTGGAGACCGATGTCTGTCTGCCTTCGTTGAGGGGAATATCGGGAGGACTCTTGCTCACATCTCTCAGCAGGACAACGGGCGACAGGGCGGGAGACACCTTGTACGGGCCCGAGGAGACAAATTTAGCACTTTGGAATGAGTCTTCGCTCTTAATACTGATGACATTCATCTCAGTTTTCTTTTGTGGGGTTTTGTCATTATCTTCCGGTGGGGCTATTCTGTTCCAGTGGAGCGGTTCTTTTTCACTGCCTTGTGTCTCCATGCTGAAAATGAGTTCTGAATTGGCATCCAGTCTCATGACAGTCTTGGCCTTGTCTTCACCTGAAATTATTGTCAGACATAATATATCAGATATTAAGTAACTGATTCAGAATTGCATACACACGATAAATTTACGAAATATCAAATGAGTCGGAAAGATTTTCTATGTTTTTTGCTTAATCCCACATAAGGCAATATTCCAGCTATATGATGGCAAGATCCGCAAAGATCCGGGTTAGAATAGGTCTTCGTATTCCAACTGTGTGGATCGATGGTCATGATATCAATCACTGGATTGTCTGGCCCAGATTCAACTATTTACAGACTGGAATAGTGCTGAGGGCAGCATTAAACAACAAACAAACAAATAAATGATAGCAACCTGCAAATAATCAAGACTTGTCCAATGAAATGCAATGACACAGAATCATCTAGGTCACCGAGCCTGACCACCAGATCCATCGAGACACACCAAGGTCAGCGAGGACCTATTTTACCTGGAGGCGAGGAGAGGTGAAATGGGGTTTAACATCGCGTACAAGATTATTGCACTTATATAGCGACGTGCATTGGGACCGTGATTGGGATACGATGACATGCATCAACCAAGTCAGCGATCCTGACCATCCGATCCTGTTAGTCGCCTCTTAAGCAAAGTGGGTCACTTCCGAGCCAACCAGTCTTTGTTTTAGACTTTTAATGCCGAGTGCCAGACAGGGTAACAGCAAGTCCCATCTGTTAACGTCTTTTGGTACGACGCGGCTGGGGATCGAACCCCGGACCTTAAGCTGTCCAGGCAGACGCTCTACCACTAGACCACAGAGGCGGTGAAACCCTCAAGTATGTGTATGGCACTGACAAACCAAGAAACATATTTGCTGGGACTCTTCAATAATCCTAAAGTGCAAACCTCTCACCGTTACTTTCCAGTGTTACATTATCCAAGAGAAAAGCATCCATGTGGCATCTGCTTTTCTGGTGTTCACGGATACGACGTCGACTGAAATGGCGGAGTCCTTCTCCAAATGTAGTTTTTCTGTTATGCTTTTGACAAACCTGCAATAAAGGAATTAAAACCACCATATAATATTGAAGTCAGCATAGTCACTAGAAGTGAAGTTTAACTGCTACCTTAAAAAACAATTACATAGTGAGTGAGTAAGTTTGGTTCGAACACTGCTGTAACAGCATATCACAGTGAGTGAGTGAGTGAGTGAGTGAGTGAGTGAGTATCCGTATCCATAGTGATGCAGGAAGTTGACATTTTATCACATTAAGGTAACACACAAACCAAGGATCACTTCAACACATACCAGAGGGTACCTTATGAGTGAGTGCGTACGGTTTTACGCCGCTTTTAGCAATATTCCTGCAATATCACGGCGGGGGGACACCAGAAATGGGCTTCACACATTTTACCCATGTCAGGAATCGAACCCGGGTCTTCGGCGTGACGAGCAAACGCTTAAACCACTAGGCTACCCGACCACCCCGGGTACCTTATGGCTTACTGGTTCAACCTAACACTTCCAGACACATCAGAGGGTTCTTTACAGCCTACTGGTTCAACCCAACACTTCCAGACACATCAGAGGGTTCTTTACAGCCTACTGGTTCAACCCAACACTTCCAGACACATCAGAGGGTTCTTTACAGCCTACTGGTTCAACCCAACACTTCCACACACATCAGAGGGTTCTTTACAGCCTACTGGTTCAACCCAACACTTCCAGACACATCAGAGGGTTCTTTACAGCCTACTGGTTCAACCCAACACTACCACACACACCAGAGGGTTCTTTACAGCCTACTGGTTCAACCCAACACTTCCACACACACACCAGAGGGTTCTTTACAGCCTACTGGTTCAACCCAACACTACCACACACATCAGAGGGTTCTTTACAGCCTACTGGTTCAACCATGGTTAGGAACTAACAGTTTTCCTCCACTAGTCCTTATAATGATAACATATAACAAAACCCTTAAAAAGGGCAAATGTCTACTAGTCCTTATGATACCTTTACCAATGGGCAGTTTGGCAAGGACTATAGGACTAGTGCCAATTTCTAATGCTGTTCAACCCAACACTACCACACACATCAGAGGGTTCTTTACAGCCTACTGGTTCAACCCAACACTTCCACACACATCATAGGGTTCTTTACAGCCTACTGGTTCAACCCAACACTTCCACACACATCATAGGGTTCTTTACAGCCTACTGGTTCAACCAAACACTTCCACACACACACCAGAGGGTACATTACAGCCTACTGGTTCAACTCAACACTTCCACACACACACACCAGAGGGTACATTACAGCCTACTGGTTCAACCCAACACTTAGACGCACATCAGAGGGTACATTACAGCCTACTGGTTCAACCCAACACTTAGACACAAATCAGAGGATTCTTTACGGCTTACTAGTTCAACCCAACACTTAGACACACATCAGAGGGTACTTTACAGCCTACTGGTTCAACCCAACACTTAGACACACATCAGAGGGTACTTTACGGCTTACTGGTTCAACCCAACACTTAGACACACATCAGAGGGTACTTTACGGCTTACTGGTTCAACCCAACACTTAGACACACATCAGAGGGTACTTTACGGCTTACTGGTTCAACCCAACACTTAGACACACATCAGAGGGTTCTTTACGGCTAACTAGTTCAACCCAACACTTAGACACACATCAGAGGGTACTTTACGGCTTACTGGTTCAACCCAACACTTAGACACACCTCAGAGGGTTCTTACAGCTTACTAGTTCAACCCAACACTTAGACACACCATCAGAGGGTACTTTACAGCCTACTGGTTCAACCCAACACTTCCACACACACACCAGAGGGTACATTACAGCCTACTGGTTCAACCCAACACTTCCACACACATCAGAGGGTACATTACAGCCTACTGGTTCAACCCAACACTTAGACACACATCAGAGGGTTCTTTACGGCTTACTAGTTCAACCCAACACTTAGACACACATCAGAGGGTACTTTACGGCTTACTGGTTCAACCCAACACTTAGACACACATCAGGGGGTACTTTACGGCTTACTGGTTCAACCCAACACTTAGACACACATCAGAGGGTTCTTTACGGCTTACTAGTTCAACCCAACACTTAGACACACATCAGAGGGTTCTTTACAGCTTACAAGTTCAACCCAACACTTCCACACACATCAGAGGGTTCTTTACAGCCTACTGGTTCAACCCAACACTTCCACACACATCAGAGGGTTCTTTACAGCCTACTGGTTCAACCCAACACTTCCACACACATCAGAGGGTTCTTTACAGCCTACTGGTTCAACCCAACACTTGGAAACACATCAGAGGGTACTTTACGGCTTACTGGTTCAACCCTACACTTTTTTTCGTGCATATTTCAGATTATTTGCAAAAAACAGTAGAACAGGTTAATAATTACCAATTATTATCAAAAATGTTTTAGTTTCAGGAACATTAAAAATATGTTTGTTCACTATCACTCATCTGAAAATGAATTTAATTCGGCATTTACAGCTTTGACAAGCACCCTCTTCAATTTTCTGATCACCTGGGCCGCTTATTACACCGAATATTGTAAACAATTTATTCCAACATGTCCAATGAACACCTGTCAAGTAATCAGTACAGCCTGTGACAAACCTTTTGAGATTATCAAGCCGAAGATGGCTTTTAGTATTATTTCTGTAGTTTTTAGAGTTATTGTGTGGACAATTACTGGCTGACCTTTCTTAGGCCAAACAGAATTTTACCTGACAGATTTTGTACCAATGGCTAAAGGCAGAAAATCAGTAACATTTAAACAGTATATTCAAGTTTAACACTGACCTTACAGAATACCTTATTGTCAATCTCATCAAACATTAGCCAGGGAAAGTCGATGAGCCATGTGTAGTCAAACACGCTTTGCAGCGCCAAGACACTCTGGATCTGTTCGTGGCACTTGTGCACCATCTGCAGCCACTGCGAGGACTGCTCACCACACCCAGTGTCTGCAAACAGTCAGCATGTTATCAGGCCTACCAATGAGTGAGTGAGTGAGTGAGTGAGTGAGTATGGTTTTACGCCGCTTTTAGCAATATTCCAGCAATATCACGATGGGGGACACCAGAAATGGGCTTCACACATTGTACCCATGTGGGGAATCGTACCCAGGCCTTCGGCGTGACGAGCGAACGCTTTAACAACAAGACTACCCCACAGCCCCGAGTGAGTGAATGAGTGAGTGAGTGAACAGAATAATACTTCTGTTGTCAACACTTACTCATGTTATCCCACTCATGTATGCAATTGTTGTTACTGTTAATCCTCTACCATTAATCCTCCACCTACTATATATATTCTGTAATATGTCCCTCATTCAGTCCTGCTTGACAACGGTATAAGGATCTATACCGAAACGCCGCTTTTTCGGTATTAAAGAAGTTGTTATCCATAAAACTGTGTCTACCTTATTGAAATCTAACTTTGCACTGCACCTCTCCTCACCTGCACCTCAATTGGAAAAGAATCCTTAAGTAGTTTTCAATTTATAAGTTGCACACAAAAATGTCCTCAAATGGACTGACGGAGGGAATTCCTTGGTACATTCTCTCTACACCTGCCCTGTTAGCTTGGCAGTATAACAAGACATGCATGGATAGTTCAGTTTATGGGTTCCATTGAATCTTCCAATTCAACTACAATCAGCATGACCATTCTATGAACTACAAAAAAAATCATTCAAATCTGAAGAAACTATTTACTTCTAAAATTACATTTGATCAAATTGTAATCTCAAGCCACGGAATTCTTACTATAAAGAGAACAGAAAAAAAGCCTTTTCAGAAGTATATACATATAAAAGGTACTTTAACACTTAAAATTATGCACTTTAATTTTTAAACTACATAAACCAACAGACCCAATTCATGTCTTGTAAAATTAACCATATTTTTATTTCAAGCAACCCAAGCTAATTAGCAAAACATGCTCTAGTCTGTGCCACCCACCTTGTATTATACGCAATGCATCGACGTGTTGCGCAGACTTCGTGTGTGTTATCAGCGGATCTCTCATGAAAAAGTGGGAGCCCACAGTAAAAATGTTGCTTTTCTTTGAAAATATGCAAATCTAAAAGAGAGAATATCCATTTCTAAGCATGAAAGAAACAGCAAAGCATAACAATAGTGAGCTAATAGGGTTGTATTAGGTTACTTATCTCCGAATGTAAAACATCGTATTCAGAGTGAGTTGGTTTTAACACCGCTTTTAACATTATTCCAGTAAAGCTCTCACGGTGTGTCAGCTTAATTTGGAAGGAAAGCCCGAAGTGATGAAAGTCTCAGACGTTTACCACTTTGGTGAAACCCACGAGCACGGGTATGGTGCTGACAAACCTAGAAACATAATTGGGGTGAACCCGGATTCGAACCCACAATCATAGGTTTCTGACGTGCCCAAGGGACGCAACTCTGCACAGCGAATCGCGGCGCCTTAAGACGGCTGGGCTACCCGTGCCCCCTTCGTATTTTGAGATTGTATTGAATGCAATAATATTAATAAGTATTAAAACTTGTTCCTATTTACTGGCCCTGTCATCAGTGCAATACAGGTTATCTCTAAGAAGCCATAAAATAAGTTATATATATACACAAACTTAAATTACAATTTGGGAATTTTTTACTGACAATGACATTGCTGCTGATTTTTGTGTTGAACAAGTTTAGATAAACCCTTGATGGTACACACAGATACAATCTCATTAAAATCAGATCTTAGTTCTTGCTACCGCTAAACAAAGATCTGAGGACATCCCTTTACGGGTCACGTCAGACAGACCTTGCATGAATTTTGACCAACCAATGGAATGACCAATCAGAAGGCAGCTTTCTCATGCTTTACGGCACTAATTTCAAATTGGCGACTACGCTTGGAAAGAAATTTTGACAAATTCTCGATTACAAATTTGAAACCTGAACAAAAAAAACATTCTGGAATGACTAATGTTGCTAATAGATGGTCTAGATTTAAGGATTCAGTCGTTAAACCTGTAACTATCATTCGGAATACCCCATGTTAAAGTGTTTGAGTTTGCATGATTAGAAATCACATTCCGACTGTCACTTTCATAATCTGGTAAGCGACGCACTGATTGGTCGGATGAAAGGTCTTCTGACGTGACCCCAAATGGGATGTCTTCAGATCATTGTTTAGCGGTAGCAAGAACTAAGGTCTGATTTGAATGAGATTGACACAGATATGGGTTGAACGTGTTGCACAAAATATTTTTATTGGATCACTGGATGCTCATTCAGCATCTTTTCTTCTAGGACTTTCATAAAGTCAGGTAGACCAAATCCATAGCTCTCTACTAAAACAAAGCAATATTCCAACTATATGACGGCGGTCTGTAAATAATCGAGTCTGGACCAGACAAACCAGTGATTAATATCATGAGCATCGATCCATGGAATTGGGACCGATGACATGTATCAACCAAGTCAGCGAGCCTGACCACCCGATCCCGTTAGTCGCCTTTTACGACAAGCATAGTTGCTATTTACGGCAAGCATGGGTTGCTGAAGACCTATTCTACCCCGGAATCTTCACGGGTCTACTAAAACAAAGTTTGAGATGCTTCCAGTATTTCTCACCTGACAGAACATGGTGTGGTTAATTGGATCGTACATGAGCCAGGGAAAGTTGACGGCCCACTCTGGATCGAACTCTCCAACATGGGTACTCCTCCCTGATAATACAATGACTATCTCAACAGTTGCTTACGACGCAAACAAGTGTTTTCACATTTGTGAAATAACATCCGATGCACAGAAATTTGACATGAGGAACCAACATGACCAATAGACATGATAGAATAAATAAAGTTCATGTAAACAATGGTAAACAAACCCATGGTCCGTATCCAAAAAATATTTGCCGTAACCATGGTAACCACAATTGAGAAATTAATGGGACTGTGCTGCACTCTGATTGACTGAAAAAAATTATTAAATGGGATTTAAGGTTGCATTGCATTTGTTGTTTAACGCCGCACTCAGATAAGTGACGACGGTCTGTAAATAATCAGGTCTGGACCAGACAATCCAGTGATTGACATCATGAGCATCGATTCACACAATTTGGATACGATGACATGCATCAACCATGTCAGCGAGCCTGACCACCCGATCCTGTTAGTTGCCTCTTACGACAAGAAAATGGGATTTGAAGCCTGGAAATATTCTGACCATCTAAATGCGTATTTGGAGGGTTTCAATAGAAAACATTTTCAACATAAAGTCTACATTATTGTTATAAGGCCTTACCCTTAGGCAACGAATCCTGTTTTGATTTAGCAGTGAGCGCTGGTCCCTGTGTTGCCCCACTGACCTCTGGGGGCAAATTGACAGGAGCTTGTACTGCATTCGTCATCACACTTGGCAGCATCTCCATAGGAACTGGGGGCTGCCCAATCAACTTACCTAGGGAGGAATGGAACTCAGTCGGTGCCTTTGAAGGAGGGTCTAAGTTGATCCCAGGATAATTTGTTGCAGACACTATGCTGCTTTCTTTAGGAGTACTATCCATATGTAACGATTCCACAATACTGGCCACAATGTTATGAATTTCTGAATTATCTTCAGATACCTTTTTTGTTATGTTGTTTGATTTCTGGCTCTCTTTTGATTTGTCCTTGTCTTCTACGCCAACTATTTCAACATCATCATCATCCTCATCATCACTGACCCGCACTATTGTCATCATTCCACTCTCCGGGTCAATCAGTTCTATGGTGTGTCCCTTGGCCAGACAATCTGCATTCTCTGCCTTGTCAGATTTGTCTTCAACAACAATTGTCTCAGGTTCCTTTTCAACAGAACAAGAAGCATCATCATCATCATCAACAACACAAATAACACGTCTTTTTCTTTGTAAAGCTGTATTATTGGTTCCCTTCTCAGATGAGTCTGGTATTTTCGTGACAGATGTTTCACCATCTTTCCTCGAATCCGTGAATGCAGAAATATTTTCTTCCACATTTACCGAAACTGTATCAATGATTTGACTTAATGAACCACACTTTTCCTGTACAGTCTCAGTGTTTTTGCTCGACGCACAGTCCTCGGTTTGGGATGAAGTAAAGTCATTGGCAATTATTTCTTCAATATGAACAAGAGAGCTGTAACTTGGATCAGATGTAGGAATGTTGTTCCGATTACTCTCACTTGGATTCTTCTGACTGACAAGATCAGTTGCAATGCTTGGACCAGCGGACACTTGCAGCAGTGCCGTGATGTCAACCGGGGCATCTCCATCACTTGTGTTGGATGTAATCAAGGGAGGACATGATGACACCAGACTGTTCGGAATTAGATCAAAAAATCTGTCTGGGGGAGGCTGGTTGAAGGGCAAACCAAGCATTTGAACAACAACTTTATCATTTTGGGCTATGTCGGGTTGCTCAGAATCATCAGGTAAGGTTTTGGAGGGGAGTGGCAAGAGAGATGGATTTAATGGAGGTGCAACATGCGAGGCATCTTCTGGAGTTGATCCAGTTTTTGTACTTAGTAGTGATTCCACTAGTAGCCTTTGCTGAGTGGCAGTTTCTATGCCACTTGGTAACTTTGTGTGTACAGTGCTCTGTATAGACTTTAATGCTTTTCCACTGTTGCAATCCTTTGAATTAATACTTGATGACAAGAACTTCATGGTTAGAGGTCTGATCTGTGTATTTAGGATGAGACCATCAAAGACGAACGTCAGCTGGTCCCCGCCTCCATCGTCGAGACACTCACAGGTTGTGTTTAGCATGCAAGGCAGTACAACTCCACTTTGACCAAGGTACCATGCTTCAAGATGAAAACTCGAGCCTGCCGAATTCTTCACACTTTTTAAAACATAGGAATAGGGGAGAGTGAAGTTGATGCGATCTATTGTTGTTAAACCTTCATTATCAACGTCGGACAGGTCAGCCCGGAACGGTTGATCCACAATATCAAATAGGCTGATTCGAATGGCAGATTTTGACACATCAACAGCGAGTTTTCTTAATTCTACGACGATTTTGCCTTCAGATGGTAGCGCTGGGGATGATGAACGTTCATAACTTAACTGGCACTGTTTTGCGAGACGATCGTCATTTATTGTCCTTACCGCGCATCGCTTCAAGTCGAAGTTTGCATTTAGGTATGATGCAGAGTATTCGATAAAAGGTGCACTGTATCGTTTTTGGTATATTTTCACCAGAAATGAACGTGGGAATGAAAATTCCAGGCTACAGACAGACATGTTTATCGCATCATTCACCTGCACCTGCCATCCAGCGAAAATTCCCATGAATACATCCGCTTGCAATCTCCATGTACAGACGTAATGCTCAGAGCGCTGCATGGAGCTCGCGTCGACTAATCATACTATTTCCCTAAACGGGAAGATAACGTTGACAAAATACTTGACAGCACCAGTGTCGTCAATATTATATTTGTGAGTCACCGAATTATCAGAGCCACGTATGACTACTCTCATTACATCGAGACATTGTCCCGGTCTAACACACGACAATACTGACAGACGCACGCAATTAAGTAATATTTTATTCATAGAACCATGTTTTAATGAGACTTGTTACAATATAAGTTTCTCGTTTCTCACGCTCGCCACTTCCCCACCCCCCCCCCCCCCCCCCCCCCCCCCAATCAATAATTGGAAGTAAGTGTCGCCTAAACCAATGGCTGATCCTGTGAGCAACAATTCACGCCGCCCTGGCTAGCATTACCTTACAGTGACACTAAGGCCCCGTTCCACAAAGCGATCTTAGTGCTACGTTGATCGTAAGCCTATGCTGAAGTATGGGAGTTACGACCAACTTAGCACTAAGATCGCTTTGTGGAACGGGTTCCAGGTCCGTATCAATGACCCCGCTTTTTCCCACCGAATTCCTTTATATATTAACGAATTTTCATAAGGAGAGGGCAGTCGGATAGCCTGGTGGTTAAAGCGTTCGCTCGTCACGCCGAAGACCCGGGTTTGATTCCCGACATAGGTACAATGTGTGAAGCTCATTTCTGGTATCCCCCGCCGTGATATTGCTGGAATGTTGCGAAAAGCGGCGTAAAACAAAACTCACTAACTGTTGTGGTCGCTGTAAGGTGGTGGTGTGACCGATGGGAAGGAGTACCGTCTGGATACAGCATTGTAAGTGCTTCATTCTGTGGCATTTGATTAAGCAAACAAGTTTGGGTTGGTTTGATCCCATGGATGTATGGGGATATAAACACAAAATCCCGTGTCCTCTATAAACGCAAGCATTATTGAAGTCATAGCTATGATGTTGTGGGTTCGAATCCCGGTTCGCCCCGATTAAGTTAATAGGTTTGTCAGCACCATACCCGTGCTCGTGGGTTTCACCGAAGTGGTAAACGTCTGAGACCTGCATCACTTCGGGCTTTCCTCCCACATTAAGCTGACACGACGCGATATAACTGGAATACAGTAAACTACGGTTATAACGAACACGCTTATAACGAACTGACGGATATAACGAACTTACTTTTTGGTCCCGACTACTTGCTGTAGTTATGCTGTGTATATGCTTATAACGAACTACGGTTATAACGAACTAAAATTAGTAGTCCCTTTGAGTTCGTTATAACCGTACTTTACTGTACTGTTAAAAGCGGCGTTAAACCCAACTCACTGACTCACTCACTTACTCATAGCTAATGATGACTTTATGTTGGGCTGTTAAATGTAGTTTTGTATGGATCTCTTTGTGTAGCATTTGACTGATTCTCACTTGAAACGTCCAATGTGGGAGATGGACAGGAACGTAGTTTGAGAACACTGTCAAACGTAAATATACTCCCCCAAGCTGTGATATGGCTGGAATATTGCTAAAAGCGGCGTTAAACCATAATCACTCACTCACTCATAGGAGAATTTTGCTCAACCCCTCCAACATCTACGTACACACAGATGCTTCAAACCCGACTTGGGAATCAATATAATTTTATATTCACAAGTTTAGATTTAAAAGTATGCTTTTTAGTTTATCTTCTGACTTTTCCCTGGTGAATTGTGATGACTCTGATTGCACACAAGCCACCAGGCTTTCACACACACACACACACACACACGCACACACACACACACACGCCACCAGGCTTGGTCACACACACACACACACACACACACACACACACACACACACACACACACACACACACACACACACACACACACACGCGTTGAGTTTCACACATTGTTCTTATGTGGGGAATCAAACCCGGGCCTTCGGCGTGACGAGCGAACGCTTTAACCCCTAGGCTACCACACCGCCCCCTCATCACAGTTGCTTACCAAATATCAAGTGCATAACCACCCTTGAGGATTCCGGGTGAAAACAGATTCACAACAGCTGGAGCTAGTCGGCAGTTGACGCTGGTGGCGACTAAATGCTGTTGGGTTGGCGAGGTGAGGCGAAATTGGGTTTAACGTCGTATTCAAGATTATTCCACACATGCGACGTGCATGCGTGTGTCTGTGTGGTTGCTTGAACCGGACTATAAAGTCAATTTCATCGTGGCCAACTGCGGGCCGACCAGTCCTGGTTTAATGCCCTAATGCCAGGCAGAGGAATAACAAGCACCATCTTTTAGTTTGATGCGTCCAGGGGATCGAACCACCGACCTAACGCTCTCTGGGCAGATGCTCTAACCACTACCTCACTGCAGGCAGTCCCACAAGGATGAAACCCACGTGCGCGATTGAGTGCTCACAGACCTACGATAATAACTGACAATATTACATAGTATATTACCTACGAGGGCAAACATATCGTGGTAAATAAAAATCAAATGTGCCGCAGGGTCATATCACGTCACGAGACAACAGTGTATTGTTTCCGTCATCGGGACGGCATTGTCATTCGAATCTTATTGTGACGTGAGGTCGGAATGACGTCATAATAGAAACGACGTCACAGCCGAAGATTGTTGACGTCATTCGACAACTTGTGGTTCCAATGCTGTTGCGACTCGCAGTCCTTATAGGTAAACACTAATATTCGTCTCTGTTTGTAGACATCTTCGGTAATAAATAGAACATTAAATTCGTGTTAATGTCATAGTATGTTCACGACACTCGTGCCGAAATTCCGGTATTTACCGAGCGATATCGTGTCGTAAACAAAGCATGACATGGACACTCATATAATATCCTCCTTGTATTTTAACAAGAAGATTTTTTTTATGTCATTCGTGTTCCTGTATGTTGATGCTAGAGTTCACCAGTACAGAATACGTTTAAACGTAATTACCGTATTCGACGTAATAAGTGCCCCGCTCTAATAAGCGCCAACGGCGATATTTGCTAATATATTGACAAGTGAACAATCCCAATTAGCACCCCTTCCGATTGATCAATGTATACAAGACTTATTTATTCGCGTATAATACGCACTCGTGTGTTATATGCACCCTTAATAATGGGCAATTTAATTCTGGAATAATATATCTGTCGTATATAAACATTTCAGGCTGTCAGCATAAACCACGAAATTTATCTTTCAACTCACCAAAATAAAATTCTAATAAGAGCTCCCTATTTCTAATTTTGAGCGCGCCCTGGGCGCTTATTACGTCGAATACGGTAGTCATCTCGGCCTTGAAGTGATGATGCTGATCTTCCATCGGCTGACATTTAATTTGTAATGACCAGTAAACATATCAATAACAGGTTTTAAAATCAAGAAGAGAATATATTCTCTGTCCATCAAGGTGTTTGTAAAGCTTGACGTGTTGTTTTTAAAATTAGTCGGCAGTCACGCCATGAATACATGTGTACATTTGAGAAGGGTGCACTTGTGTATATAAAGGATCCCACCGACAGCAGTGTTCAGTGGATACGTGGAGTGATTATCGAAAGATTACTATACCACAGAACTGCGTAAGTTGAGAGATGTTATCAAGGAAAAAACGTCGAGGAAAGCTCAGTTCATACAGGTGATACTGCTTCAAGACAATTCAGGCACAAGTGGCAGTGTGTGCTTGAGCTGCAGATTGTATCTTTGAATTACTTCTCCATGTCCCCTATTGTCCTCACTAAGCACATTGTGTGAGTGAGTGAGTGAGTTGGGTTTAACGCTGCTTTTAACAGTATTACAGTTATATCGCGGCGTGTCAGCTTAATGTGGGAGGAAAGACCGAAGTGATGCAGGTCTCAGACGTTTACCACTTCGGTGAAACCCACGAGCACGGGTATGGTGCTGACAAACCTAGAAACATAATCGGGGCAAACCGGGATTCGAACCCACAATCATAGGTTTCTGGCGTGCCCAAGGGACGCAACTCTGCACAGCGAATCGCGGCGCCTTAGACGACTGGGCCACCCGTGCCCCCCAAGCACATTGTGACTTCTACCTCTTCCATAAACTTAAGACACGTAAAGATCCGGGTTAGAATAGGTCTTCAGCAACCCATGCTTGCCCTAAAAGGCAGATATGCTTGTGGTAAGAGGCGACTAACTGGATCGGGTGGTCAGGCTTGCTGACTTGGTTGTTGCATGTCATCGTATTCCAATTGCGTGGATTGATGCTCATGATGTCAATCACTGGATTGTCTGGTCAAGACTCGACTATTTACAGACCACCGTCATAGAGCTGGGATATTGCTGAGTGCGGCGTTAAACAACAAACAAACACAAGAACCATAAACTGAAAACAAACCCGCGTGGTAGAGTTTACCAGTAACGGTGAGGTGATTACCGTCGTCGTGGCCGTTCGGGAAAACCAAGATGAAGACTATCATAGGGCAGGGATAGCAACGCTGAAGCATCTCTGGACGAAGGGTATTGAAGTCAAATGAGATGGTACTGAAAACTAATGGGTGCATTTTGTCTATTCTGAACGATTGTGTGATCCCAGGAACTATTCCGTATGCCTTCGTATATCACCAGGACGGGTGGTCTGGTTATCGGCGCTGGATGTCCAGCGACAGGGTACTCTACCCATTGGTCATTTGTTGCACCTTGTAACTACATGCGTGAACGCTGAGCAAGTAGTGTTTAACGCCACTTTGAACAGTGTTTCAGTCATACCACGGCATGTAGGCTTAAGGTGGGAGGGACGCCTACAGTGTACAGGTGGTCGTCCACATTGTTCACCCACATTGTGGCACCCACGAACAACATGGCCTTTCTTTGTTTGATTGCTGTTGAACGCCGCACTCAGCAATATTCCAGCTATATGACGGCGGTCTGTAAATAATCGAATCTCGATTGACAATCCAGTGACTGACATCATGAGCATCGAGCAACCAAGTCAGCGAGCCTGACCACCCGATCCCGTTAGTCGCCTCTTACGACAAGC